AAGTCACATCAAGAAAATGTCTCGATTGAGACAGGCTTTTTTAAGAGAAAACATCTCAAGTGAGATGGAATTTTGTTTTGAAATAAACTATCTTAATTGAGGAATTTTTTTTAAGAGAAATATCTCGAGTAAGATGAAATTGTGTTTTGAGAGAAACCGTCTCGAGTGAGATGAAAGTTTCAAGGGAAAATATTTCGAGAGAGATGAAATTTTGTTTCGAGTGAGACGAATATTTTAAAGGGAAATATCTCAAGCAAGATAAAATTTTGTTTCGAGAGAAACTGTCTCGAGTGAGATAAAAAAATTTCAAGGGAAATATCTCAAGAGAGGTGAAATTTTGTTTCGAGAGAGACCGTATCGAGTGAGAGTTATCTAGGGAGAACCATCTCAAGTGAGATAAAATTTTTGTTTCAAGGACATTGTCTCAAGTGAGATGAAATTTGTTTTTTGAGGAAAACTATCTCAAGTGTGATAATATTTTTGTTTCGATGAAAAAAGTGAAACAATATTAAGGAAGACAAAGATTTTTGACATTTTTTAAAGATATCCTCAAGAGAGAGAAAATGATCTTAAGAAAGCTGGGATTCCTTGAAAATTTAAAGATGTCTTTAAGAAAGGAAAATGGTCTTGAGGAAGACAACTTTTTGGGGAAAAAACTTAATGAAATATGAAGAGATTGAAAATGATCTTAAGAAAGACAAATTTGAAAGTATTCTCATGGGAGAAAAGTGATCTTATAAAAAAAAATTGAGAATATCATCATGAGAGGAAAATAATGAATGGTGAATGTTTGATGCGAATATGTCATTGATGTAAGTGCATGTTTTCATGAATTATAATGATCCAAAAGTTTGTATGAAGTTTTCATTCTCGAATTCTTCAATATTCCTCACTATTTCACTTGAGCATGTCATTGTAATTCTTGGCTTACAAATTTGTTCTTCTGCCCCGACAAACTCTTGCCATAAAGTTTCTTCTTTTTTGCCCCGCATTGATCCTAAGCTTCCATGTCTGAGAGACATTTTTCAATTTTCAAGATACATTCCTAGAGAGGTTATCTTATTCAAAAATGTTTTTCTTTTTTTTTCCAAATATGAAAAAGTTTTCTTTTTTGAAAAAACGAAATTATGCCAATTTTTTAGGCTCATATTGAAGCAAATTATAGAACATGAGTTCATTAAATATTAATATAATCAAATACTCTTTGAGATGTCCCTTGACTTTTAATGAGGCAGTACAAATTGCTAGTGATTGCTTAAAATGCCCATGCGGACGCATTCGGTAATGTAGTGTTATACATTTTAAAGTGTTCATATTTAAGTTCTCTAAAATCTTTCATTTGTTCGGATTTCATAGATTCCTATTGCAAAGACGGTGCATAATTATCGATCTAAAAAATAGAATCCTTGAGTGCTTTTATGTAGTCGACTATAACAAATGTTTCTCAACGCCCTTAGTCTACATTCCATCGGAACTCATTCTCAATTGAAAATTTTAGGTCTTACCACCTTTCTTAAAATATATTTCATTAAATTTGATGTTCTTATCCTTGTTTTGATTTTGTTGGGAGATTCATCTCGACATAAAGTTACTAGTGTCATGATTTGAATGTGATCCTATTCATAAAGTTAGGGCTATTGACATGGCCCTACTTAGTGGAATACCCTTAATTTAAGGATTCAAGATTCAGAAAGTCTTCAACTTGACAACTCAAACGGAACTCACTTCATAAAGCTTGGACATTACCTTTATAGCTACTTCAAACATTACCTCTGAAGATTAATAGCTTACTACTCTCAGCGTAGTGCCCCCAACAATATTAGAATTAGTTTGCATTATTATCACATTATTTCCTTGAGTTTTCAATTTTAAGATATTTTAAGCTCATCAAGAAGGATCTGTTATTGCCTGATTGTCATGAAAAGCCAGGAAAATTCATTTTTAGAGCTCAATTTCCCTAAGCTAAATTTATCTATTCCATCATTCCAACTATGTAAATTATAAATCATCATTAAACATCCTAAATAGAACTACAGTCAAAGTGATCTAGCAATATCGCGTACGTCGAATGCTCTATCTTACCTGTTTGCGGGAAGACTTGTACTTCACTTGTAACTTGTATCAGAAGAATATCTCATTTGTGCTGGAAAAGGCTAGTGTGTAACATTGGAGTCTTCTAAGAAAGGGTAATCTTGAGAATACAATCAAGTGATTTTTTTAGAAGGGATCAATTTTTAGAAGGGGTGTAATCATGTTACTTGTCGAAGGTTTATAGCCCAAATTCTTAAAACATCCTTTAATTAAGTTGATATTTAAAAAAAATCAAAGATTAAAATTTGTTCATTGCTCATAAACTCAGAAGGTAGCATTTTATTCAGTATGTTTAACGTCAAGAGACTTTTAATTAAAAGAAAATGAAAAAAAAAACAAGTTTGAACAAGATAGAATACAAGTGCATCATGGGAAATGCATCAGAATGTCTTATTATTCTTCGAATGTCCATGCTCTTATATCGACTAAATTCTAGACCTTACGCTTTAATGCCCCACAATTCTTAGTAGTATGTCTTGAACTCTCCACGTGGTAGTTGCATATAACATTGATATCATAGCCTTAAGGATATGGTGCTCTTTTTGTCTTCGATTGCACAGTAGACGGAAGATTCTTCTCAATAAGCATTATGAGTAATTCCTCGTATCTCATAGGAATTGGCCTAATGGGAGTGTTTTCTGGAACTTGTTTATGAGATTTGGTCCAGCGATTGTTTTCTCAAAATTCTACCCCGGCTTCATTCCTTGTATTAGTATTACTAATACCTCTTATTTTTCCACTTCTTATGGATCTTTCAATCATTTCTCCGAACATGACAATATTAGAGAATGTTTTAGTACCAGCTCCTAACATATGGTCAATGTAGAGTAACTTCAGCTTATCCATGAATAGGGTAATGAACTCTCTTTCAATCAATGATGGACACACTTAGATTGCAAAATCTCTCAATCATTGTGCATATTTTCTAAAGCGCTCATTACACCTCATTTTAATGTTTTGTAGAGATACTCGATCAGGTCCAATATCGCTAACATTTTTATATTGTTCTAGGAAAGACTTGGCGAGATCTTTCCAAGTCCTAATATGAACCTTGTTCAACTGATTATACCACTGAATAACTGAACCTGACAAGCTCTCCTAAAAGCAGTGGATCAGGAGTTGGTCATTTCCAACATGCCCTATCATTTTTCGGTAGAACATAGTTATATGGGCTGATGAGCAGTTGTTTTCATCTAATTTCTCAAAGTTCAAAACTTTGAACTTCGTCAGCAGCACGAGATCTGGGACCAAGCTTAATTCAATAGCGTTGATCCCGTAGAAACCTTCATTTTCTTTAATAGTTTTCATCTGGTCCTCTAATTGTCTTATTTTATCTTACATCTTCTTAGACTTATCTTCTTCATCAAAGTTCAGGATGCGGTACTCATCTGGATTGTTCAAAGGATTCATCATGGAAGATTGTGGCTTCATGGTAGAAGAGTCCCCTGGGTGTACTTGGAAACCTCGATGTGTGATTATCAGCTTTGGTGGTGGTGGTGGCGCCACAATTTCTTCAGATGCCCCCACCCCAGGAATGTTCAATCCTGTCAGCCTAGCCACAATTTGATCAACCATATTGCTTTGATTCTTAGTGATGGTATCCATGGTGTCTTTATGATTCTAGTTGAATCCTTCTGTAACTTGGTAAAGTTTTCTTCGATCTCCTTGAGTATGGCTTCCATCTATCTTGATTTTATTCGAGTATTATGTGAATGTGGTAGGTCTAGTACTTTTTCCTTTATTAATGAAATAATTTTTATTATTCATTTAGGTTTAATCATGAATGCATAATGAAATGAGAAAATGCATGACAAATTCGAGGCATTGATCCAAAAGTGTGTCATAATATAATAACCTTCATTGTGACAAAAGTATTGTTACAACGAGACCCAAAACAATTAAAGGTACACTTGATCTAGATCCTCTAAACTCTAGACATCTTATAGTAGGTCGAAAAGTCTCTTTGCCTCACTGATGGCTGGCTGAATGCCCTATCTAACTGCCTCATCTTCTTGATTAGGAACAAAGTATTTAGAGACGTGAAACACTTGTATCATTCAATTGATTAGAAGACTAATGGCGGACCAAGTCTCGCTTTGGATTGCTTGGTTAAAAGAATATAAGATGACAGGTATTTCTTTCTCATAAAATGCAGCTAAAGGTAATGATAATTGGAGTTGGAGAAAAATCCTTTACCATAGAGAAGAAGCTACTGATGGCTTGGCTTCTTTAGCAACCAGATATTGCAGTGGTACTATCTCTACAATTTCCAATGAGATAAGGCTGAAAAACGATATTATTTGGTATTCACTTTATATACCAAAGAAATTCTTTTGGATTGTCGTTCTTGATGATGAGCATTGAGTGCTATTCTACCGGAAAAATGAAACGTGTGATCATTTTTTTTGGGATGTAGTTTTTCGAAATTTGTTTGAAGAATAGTGTTGATGCAATGTAATCTGAACAGGAGCTTCATGGATTGGCAGCAAGAATTTCGATGGTTATGTAGAAATCTTAAAGGTAAGTCTCTCATTACTTCGTTTTTAAAGCTTCCATGGAATGCAATGGTTTATTTCATTTGGAAAGAGAGACGGAAAATTATTCCAAGAAGTGCATTAAATTGAAGAAGAGATCTGCTGTTTGGTTGTTAATCAGTTCTCAAATATCAACAAATCCATCATAATGCAACAAACAATTCACCATTAGACTTGCTGCAACAACACAAATTTCATATCTCTTATATTCAACCATGAATCCCGCACAAGGTCTGGCTAACCTAGAACCTAACTGCAGTACAATCCCCGCAAAAGCCATCTTACCAGAGCTTCAGGCGACTTTACAATAATCCAGCAGGATAAGTTAATACAAATAACCACAACCAATAGACATGAGCATGCATCCTATTTTGTCAAACTTCTTTCAAATCGGCTAGGAATGAACTCCATTTAATTTGTTTAAATCAGAATCCAAATGTTTTCCGGAATAGATTACAAGAAGATTGATTATAACATTTGAATATAAATAAATGAGCATAGAATAGACGAGTGGGAGAATTATCCCACACACTTTCTTCATTCCTGGAAGCTGCATACTCTATTTCTGCCTCTTGTAAATCTTTATCAAGAACGATTTCAACACTGCTTGCACTGCTTTGCTAGGATGACCATCAATCGAGGTAACAAGCTTCTCATAGCTTGTGCTTTCGTACTCCTCAAAAACACCCTGCCAATATGGACAATAATAGGAAATATATTAACCACCGAACATCTTCTGCTTTCTTTTTATGTTCCAAGAAGAAATCCTGAATAATATCAAACCTTGAGATTAAGCTCACTGTATAGAGCCTTCACTTTAGCAATGTTGGCAGGGTCTGGTTTCCCATAGTTCTCCTAGAGCAAACCATATCAAATTTGATTAACAAATAAGACAACCGATAGAAATAGTTCTAATCTTACATATAATACTATCTTCTGCTCCTCATTGCAGATTTCCAATGCTTTAACCACCAACCAGGAGCACTTAAAATCTTCGATATCGGCCCAATCTGAGATTACACAGAGCTTGAGTAAGACTATGCATAAAGCAAACAATGGGTCTTCCAATGTTCAATATTAACATGTAGGATCTGGTGGAAAAGGAAGAACATTTATTCCACCTACCAAGAAAGCAGATCAAAAAGAACATTTTGGGAGTCATAAACCGCGTTGGGTAATTCCTAAATGAAACTTTCTAAAAGTTCAACTGAAATCACAAATTTCTACGAGTTCAATTTAACTTTTGACAGTTTTTTTTTTAAATTCTCATGTGTTCTGCTTTTAGTTCACGTCTATCCACTGTATTTGCAGAATAAAATTGTAGAAGCTGAAAGTCAGATGAATTAGTCCAAATATTACCTGTCCTTGAAAGGAGATTCCCATGTCAACAAGAATGTTCTTTACATCGATGTGATTGTCAAGATTTTCACCCGCCATAACCAGTGCACATGCAACCTGCGTTCATTTAGGTAATATCAGAGATAGCCCATACATTCTAATGATCAGACGCTGATGTAAATGATTAAGTGTATTAAGAGAAAGTGTAATATGTGAAAATATTAGCTGCAAGTGCTGCCTAAATAGATATATGGAGCATTAGAAGCAAAATGGTTAATCTGAGAGGAGATATAGCCAATAAAGAAGAGACAAATCGATCCAACTAACAACCTATTGTTGTACATAAGCTTGCGATTGCAAATAATTCATGGTGAATGCTTCAAGTGAAATGGGGGTCACTTACAGGAAGATAAAATGAATAATAGGCAGTCTTGTATTGAACAATCCGACGGTGCCTGAAGAGATATTTAATCAATATATAGATAAGAACAAACATAAAAATTACTATTAGAAAGGGCTGACATGGAAAAAATTGAAACGAGGCAAAAGGTGGAATCTTTCCCCTGTTTAAGTATGATAGAACCTTTATATCTTGAAACAAATAATTGCTCAAGTTTCACTCACTTAGACAATGAGTATTTGGATAGATCCTTTTCTCCTTCAAATGTTGTAATCAGATCTATCGTCTGTCCTGAAGCTGTTTGAAACTCCACCAGTGTAAAACAATATGTAAAAATGTTTAGGATAGTTTTTGAATGAAGAGAGTTTAAGATGCATCCAAGTTCATTACCTCATTGAATAAATCTAGCAGATCTACATAGTAAGGTTTCCCACGAAAGTGATTTTTGAGAATCCTGTCAATGTGATTGCGAAGTAGAACACAATCGTTTACAGCAATCAAACCAACCTACAAGGAGTTCAAACAAAGTTAATTGATACTGGCAGAGGGAAAGTTAATTGACTCGATACGAAGTATAAACTTAGCACAAACCTTGGGGATTCTGAACCAACAAGGCTGACCACGCCTGGTGTGAGAGTTATCCATTATGTCATCGAGAACAAGAAAGTATGACTGAACCTGCAGTTTTTATTGTGAGAAAGCACAAGTTTTTTTTTGTCATTATGTTATGTTCATAAGGAAAAAGAATAAGAAACAAAATTGCAGAGTGGTTTAGAGGGATACCCATTCAATACACCAACCGAGAGCACTTGCAAGAAAAATCTCATCTTGAATCAATTCCTTTCCTTCTTTCAACAGGCGGTAGCTATCAATCACAGAGAGTCCACGATTCAGTTTCCCTGAAAGCAGTAAACATAAAACCAACAAGTGAATTAAGATCCAAGCCAAGAAAAGCTTACAAAATTAACCGAGTCATAGAATACTAGTTAAGTTACCTCCGGGTACATTGTACTCCAGCATCTGCAGGGGTAAAGTAAATCGGATGGTAAAAAAAGTTTATTTAAAAAAAAGCTGTGTGTGTTGTTCTTTGCAAGATGAATGGCCTTTTATAGGCCTCGATCGCCGTTCATAATGATGAACCTACCTAGGTCGATGTGTTGTGCGGTTCTCCTTCACCCTCTGGATTCTTCTGGTAAGATCTGATGTTGACAGCGGCAGTGGTTAGATGTCATTGGAGGTGGCGGCTGTTAGGGTAAAAACCCTATCTGATAGAAGATCTGAGCCCTCCATCTCCATCTTTATTGAATGGCAGAGGAGGCTGGCGGCACTGAAGATGAGATAAAACCCTATGTATTTGGGCCTTCTCATTGTCTGGGTCTGAACCAGGTATGCGCCTGAATCGGGTTATGGATCTGGTGTTTGGATCTGGACCTCTAGTTTGTTGTTGTTGGGCCTTCATTTGTAATTGGACTTTTGTAAATGGGCCTTAATTTATTATTTTTATTTGTAATAATAATAATATAAAATAATAGTAACATAATAATATATATAATTATATTATATAAAAATAAAAAACAGACGAAAATGATTGTCGACTACCCCTCTTTGCTCATTTTTGTGTTAGCAAGAATGGAGCAAAGATAAAAAGACAAGAAATGTTCGTCCTACTGACTTAAATCAAAAATAAAAACATCTACCATGAGGTTTTACATATGACCCAGAGGATTTACAAATTACCCGGAGGATTTAATTTTCTGGACATTAAATGAAAAACTTTGAAAATCGTTTTCTCATTTTCATACGAAAACATCCTACCCTAAGGTTTTACAGATGACCTAGAGGTTTTACAAATTACCCGGAGGATTTAATTTTCTAGAACATTAAATGAGAAACTTTGAAAATCGCTTTCTCATTTTCATGCGAAAACATCCTACCCTAAGGTTTCACAGATGACCCGGAGGTTTTACAAATTACCCGAAGGATTTAATTTTCTAGAACATTAAATGAGAAACTTTGAAAATCACTTTCTCATTTTCATGCGAAAACATCTACCCTGAGGTTTTACAGATGACCCGGAGGTTCTACAAATTTGTGGGAAATAATTTACTAAGTAGAAACTTATTACTTTTCAATAATTTCATTTTCTTGAAAAATTAAATGAGAAACTATGAAAATTGTTTTCTCATTTTTTGAACAACTTGTTGGTTGGGCATGCCCCAAAATTAATGTTTTACGGTTTGCGTCCATCTAATCTATTCTTTAGATGTTTACCTCTTCTAACATGATTCCTTTATTTGGGATTCGAATTCTACCTTATATTTGTAAGGTATTTTGTCCCTGCATCTTCTTGTAAAAAATGTATTTATGCAAATGCAATCAAATGTATCAATGAAATGCATGATCTTTTATGCAAATGATGTTTTTTATAGATGTATGAATACATCTTCGTTTGACTTTAAAGTTTGATCTTTTTCCACTTGATCATTCATTTACAGGGTTTACTTCAGTCATCAGTGTAGCAACTTATGTTATCATCTCATCAACATGTATCTTTGTGTCTTCTTTGCCTCAATTCGCATTAAAGTCTCAGAAGAACTATTTCATGGGACTCTTTCCATATTCATAATTATGACATGGTTGTCCCCATTTTGTCCTTGATAAAACCAGTTGTCTTTACCTGAACTTGTGTAGAAATCCAATAAAGCTTTCATCTTTGAAAAGAGAATCTATAATCTTTGCAGAATGTAGATGTAAATATGCCAAACTTAGCAGAGATTAATCAGTATATCAACGTCTGTTCGATTTGACTCTAAAAACACATAATAAGGAGGATTTATCATAATTCCTTTCATGTCTCCATATCTAATCAGATCTCGAACAAAACTATATTATGTCGAGATGTTTAACAACAATCTATCATTCAACCTTAGTTGGCTCCACTAGTTTCTTGTTGTTAAAGTTCCAATTCTCCTTTGTGGAAAGAAATCTTCATCATTTCACATTTCTGATTCTTGGAGTTGAAAAAGACAAACTTCATCTTGTGTCAACAAATAGGAATACCACATGAACGTAACATTGGTTCAAGACCATAATTACTGGTTCATAAAACATTTGACAACACATTCATCCTTTCTTGTGGCTTCTACCAGGATTTCTCAACCAGGGGACTCTTTGTATTGTTGAGCATCATATCAGGAAACATTTGGCAACACATTCGTCCTTTCATGTGGCTTCTACCAGGATAATGTAATCGCATGGTGGAAAAAACAATTATGTATGGTCAACTCCACTGTCATTGTTTCACAATTTTCATTCTTCATACCTTTCTATCTTATTGAAAACATTTGTTCAAATCAAAGACCTTTCTGAAGGATGATATGGGTCTTGAACATGCCCCAGTACTTGCTTCTTATTGATGTGAGCCTTCAAAATGCTCCAACATTTTTCATATTGATGTGATCGCTCAAAATACCCTACTTGGATCATTTTTTCCTAAAATGGGCCTTCAAAATACCCCATATTCTAATTCTGGTTGAAATGGGCTGTCAGCATGCCCCAATGTTTCTACTTCGATTGAACCAAGTTTCCAAAATATTTGGACATTAATTTTTTGCTGGAATGGGCTTTAAATGTTTGTTTGATTTGAATCTCGTGATTTCCCCGAGGTCCAACTCTGACGATACCCCATTATGGGTACTTATAGCTCTATTCGTGCCCAAATCTCTTAATTTGGATGCTCTCATTCTGGTGTTACTAAACATCAATGTCGTTTAGTAACTTGAGAGATTCTCTTCTTGTTGTCACAAACCTAAAAAGTGGTCAATCTTGTTGATAAAAATGTCTGAGATATATGTCTCTTCTGAATGAGGTGGTCATCTTGTTTTTATTGGTATCATCCTTGTCCTTCTTACTATGCTTCGAGATATGTGCCTTTCTTTCGAATGAGGCGATCATCTTTTCTTGACTGTTTGTCACAAAGGGAATGTTATAAGTCTAATTCTTCCAACTTTTTTTGTCTCTCGGGCCACTTGCTTTCAAGAATATGAAATGCTTTATCATTATGGCCTTGCTTATTCTTTTTCTCCAATAAAGGTAGAATAGACGTCAATTTGCTTCAAGAACCTTTCTCATTTGAGAATGTCCTGCTTGAAAAATGTTTTTTGGTCATTTCTTTATGAAAGAATTTTGTAAAATATTGCTCCTTACAAGGTTTACAATAGAATCAAATCATAAAACATGAGTTTAATGTATATCAAAATAAATCAACTACTCTTTTAAATCTTTCAAAAATCATAGCCATATGGCAAGTGCTAAAATTATTGATTGATTTAAGGAATAGGTTGATTCTGGTAAGGTAAGGTCTTTCAGGTTAGTCTAGCATATATTTCTCTTTGAGTGTCAACTAATTTGAAGAAATGGTTGTTATGCTCATCTCATAGAGATACTTCTTGGTTCCAGACTCTCAGAAAAGTCTTTGGGATTACAGTACTTCATTAAGAGCTTTGGATCGTCTCTTATGTCATTGTTGCACCATTCAATATTCGAGCTGCCTTATCAGGTTTTTAACTCGAATCTCTTTTGGCTTCAAGATGTTATTGAAAATTTACATCTTAAACGCTTCTTTTTCATATCATGCATTAAAGATTTTAAAAAACCAATTTTTGCAAATAAAAAATGAGAAGTAGAATGAAATATGAAGATAGTCTCTTTTACTTAGAAATCCATGTATGATTAGAATGGACTTTTCAGGGATGTAACGTAGGCCAGGGCTTATTGTTACGAAAGAAAGGGATAAAAAAGTCCCAAACAAATGTTTAAGGATAATTGAACCAATGATCAATTCATTATGATGTCTTCAATCTTGTCTTGCTTGACTTGAATCATTTCTTTTTATGTGTCCCTCATATCTCCAACATTTCTTGCGCTTCTTGTTGAATATGGATCTGTGAATTGATTGCACTTGATCAACCTTGTAACTTGAAGCTCAATGAGTTACCCATCTTGATTCAATTTCTTTTTCTTCTTCTTTTTCATCTCTCTTTTTTTTCCTTTTTTTTCTCTTTTCTTTTTTTCTTTTTCTTTTTATTCTTTCTTTTTTCTTTTTCTTCTTTAAGGATGAGTATAAGACTTCAATTGCTTTGAGCATCCCTTTCCCTCTTGCCTTTTGAAAATTATTTCGTTTGATTTCAAGCACTTTGTATTTGACCTACCTTGTAGTTCAAAACTCTCTTTACTTCATTGAGATTTTCCTTTGATTGACGATCTTTTACTTCTACGAACAAATATCCTTCACCTTGCCCCCTAGTGTGGAGGGTGACCTTGGATAGGGTTGAATCAGAAGAAAAATAATTCAGGCTCAAATGGGGAAAACAAAGGCTATATTTTTCTTCTTTTGCGAAGGGATAAATGAAAGAAGGTCGTTCATCATTTCATACACAAAATCTTCTTAAAAAGAGGTATCCCCAAGGGATGAATATTCAGAATTAACTTTTATTTACATGAAAACAATGTAATTAATGCATGATATAACTATTTAAATCAATCCTTTTATTTCTTTTTCTTTCGAACATGCCCCAATTACTCAAAATTCTCTTTGATAAGTTGATCCATTATGCCTCATCTCGTTTCTTCTTGCAGGAAAATTCACGGATAAATGAAAGCTTGGTACTTTTGAGGTCTTTTGGCTTCACTGGTATAAAAATGATGGTTTTGTATCTAGAAGGACAAATGTGTGACTTTGAAGTTATGTATATGGTGGAAGGTAGTGTTATAAACCAATCAGCTTTACCTAAGACAGTAAACATATGGATTTGGTATCTCTAAAAACATACAGATGCATTACATCAAAATCTCAGATAAATGTAGGGTAAAGATTTGGTTTGGTAAGGACCAAGAATATATCAGATAAGAATATGAGAGGTCTAATTTTACAACTTGCCTAAGATCTATAATTCTTGAAAAATTAAAAGAATATTTAATTTACTTGATATCAAAAAAATTCAAGATTAAAATTTGATTATTTGTTCATAATCATAAAAGTAACACAAATTTACAAGAAGACTTGAGAAAAAAACAAATTCAAACAAGATGTGAAAATGAAATGCAATTGTGGTAGATAACAATATCCACTTATTTATCTAGAATGCCCCATCATTTATTCATTGTGACGACAATTGACTTAATCATGCTTTGATGCCCCACTTGGTTTGTCATCCATGTTCTACCAATTCATGTGAAACAAGATGTGAAATGAAATGCAATTGTGGTAGATAACAATATCCACTTATTTATCTAGAATGCCCCATCATTCATTGTGACGACAATTGACTTAATCATGCTTTGATGCCCCACTTGAGTTTGTCATCCATTGTTCTACCAATTCATGTGTCAATGTCCCATTGTCAACAATCATCTCTATCCTTTAATAATGACCTACAATTCCAGTAGAATGCCCAAGTACCCTAGTGGAAATCACAAACACTATCTTGATCATAGCTATGAGTAGAAGGGTTTGGTGGCATTTTTATTGGCCTTGATGTGATGTATGACTCTGAATCAAATGAGGGTACAATCAAGATAGAAATTTGGAACACCTCCAAAGTATTTCTTGATCATGGGATTTTCTTTGGTTGGTCCGAACCACTAATTGCCCTTTTTTTTTGCGGTTGCGGAGACTTTAGATGTGAATTCATTCACATCATAAGCTTTAGCTTTTTGATCAGGTGGCTTTTGGATGTGACTTTTAATTTTCCTTCTTTGATTGCATTTTCAATCAATTCTCCACTTTCACGAGATACTTAAATCCATCCTTTGAACTTGCTAGAATTAACTCATAGAAAGGAGCTGGAAGTGAATCATGAAACATACATGATATCTCTTCTTCTATCATGGGTTGAACTTGTGCTGCCACTTCTCTCCATCTTAAGGATACTTTTAAATCCTTAATTGGCTTTCATCCTTATTTCTTGAAGATCCTTACGTTTGGGAGCTATGCTTTTAACATATCGATATTGTCCTAAAAATGCATTAGCTAAAACAACCCATCTCTTAATCTGCTCTTGGTTCAAATGATTATGTCATACTACCGCCGGCCCAACGAGACTATTATGGAAAGAGTGAATTAACAAATCATCATGATTTAGGTATCCTTCCATTTTTCTGCAAAACATTCTCAGGTGGATTAGGGGACAACTGGTGCCATCATATTTCTCAAAATCAGGCATCCTAAATTTATGGGGGACAACCAAATCTGCAACCAAACTGGTTCTTCACTTCTAGTTCTTCATGGAGGCATTAATACCTTTCATAGCTCTAATTTCTTCCTCCACCTGCTTAAATTCATCCTCATATTGTGCATAGTTAATGAGGCTATTCTTTATGTTCGAGTGGGATGCCCCAGGGTATGTTATCATTCTCGATGCATTAATTGATAGCATTGTTGCTCTTTTGTGTTCATCTCTTCTTCATCAGCAGTCTTAATTGCCATTATCTGGACCATATGATTCAATCCATCTTGTAGATCCCAATGCTTCATTACTCGTATCTTGATGTAACCCGTCAAACTGTTCTTCAGCCGATCTTGTAATCCATATGAGATTTCCCCATTGTTTCCATGATGATGACACAGTAATATGAATGAATAATCTCGATTTTACTGTTACAAAATCTTTCATGAATTATTTACATGCTCTTATAATTAATGAATGTAACAATACTTAAATAAATACATGTGATGCAAATGCTAAAATGTAGAAATGAGAATGCAAAATGTACAATGCAAATGTATGTATGTAAAAAGGTATCATTTAAGAGTGATCATCTTAAAAAATTTATTGAACACAACAGTTTCGATACATCAAACAAAACTTTACATAAATGGATAGCTTTAACTCCCAATTTCTCTATTTCCCTTAAAAGCCATACTAACTTCCACTCATGCTCAGGTGTAAGTTGTCAGTCTGCTTTAACTCTTACGTAAAGCCAGCTAAATCAATCAGTTTACGAGCTACATTGATTGTCTGGGTAGCAACTTCCTTCATGACCTTGTCTTTTTCCTTCAGCTTACATGTAAATTCATGGATTTGTAAACAATATTGTTCATTTTCCTTGTAAGGGAATCTTTGTGATCAATAAGCTCTTGTACAGGATCCAAAAATGTCATTAATTTCTTATTTCTGGCTTTAGCGTCTTCTAGTTCAGCTTCAATTCCATACTAATGGATATGATATAAATCTTCCATATTGATTATAACCTTATTCAATATTTGATTTTCGGCTTGACACCTTTCCAACTTGATGTCGATGTATCGCACATTTCTTCTGCAACCCGTTGATCATAACAAAACTTCTTTCTCTGATCTTCATGTTTTTGCAATTCTTTTTCAGTTTAGTGACCCCTGTCATCCACTCTTCCCAGGTACTTCCTAAACCACCCTTATGAAAGGCTTGATAAATCCTTTGGAGATCTTTACGCATGATTTCCATTTCTGCACTTAGTTTATTATTTTCAGTTTTCAAATGATGAATTTGAGCCTCATTCTTCAGCAAATCTTCTTCCTTCTAGATGTCTTCACTGATACTCTTACATTTAAATACTTTTGGTATCAACCTGATAGGATAATCGGTGGCCAAATTAGATTGATCCTGAGTTTCTGAAGTTGGGAAATTACTCTTAAATGACGATGAGTTCTGATTGCATGATTTATTCTCATCTCTGGAATCTTTTACAGTTGTCACTATTTCCTTGGGGTCTCCTGACAACCTGTTGGTATGAATGGTGACTTTGCAGAATTCCTCAAATTGGTTAGGATCAGAAGTCCCTGAGATTGCAAGATTAGGTTCATTGAGCTCTCTCTCCTTTTGTGCAGGAGTCTCTTTTTCTTTGGTCAAAACAAATATTTTATCCATCATTTTGGACATTTTCTCCTTTATCTCTCGTATCTCCTTTTGCTCTTCATCGGACATACGATCTTTGGGCACATAGCTTTTTCTATCCTCGGAGTTTCCTCAGGACGCCATTCCTTGGTTGTGTTATAGTTTACTTGATCATGAAACCCTTTGTCCATAATGAAAATATTTTATTTTGATGACACTCTCGAATCAACACCTTCGATCATGCCATGATTATGCAATGCAAGCAAAAAATATTAATATAACAAATTAAAACCAAAATAAAGTGTATATAAATACTAGATAAAAAATCCTATCTATATATATACATCATATCCTCATGCTTTCTAGTTTCATGCTTTATTTGGAAAAATAACCTAACTGCATGATTTCTAGTTCGCATGCATTTATTCAGAAAATAAAGTAATAATACGTAAAAAGACTCAACATGTTTTTCCTTGTGTGCTAACCTTACGAGACTTATTTAGGTTAGCTCCACCTAGACTCAAGTTCTAGGTTTATTATATGATGGGTTTTGGTTCTAAGGTAAAAAGTGTCAACGAATTGTCCTTTGTTGGTGTCCCCTTGGACTGCCAAGCCCTCAATCCTGGTCCATTACAGACTTTTGGATTAAGATCAATTCGAAGAAACACACTTCCTTATGTCCATACGAAGGTGAAAACCACACGAGGAACATAAGGTGTGAGCTCAAAGAATGGTCCCCTATCGCATACGGAGGTGAAAACCACACGAGGGAGTAGTTTCTCATTCAAGCTAAACAGGTAAGAGCGGAGTTTTAGTTCATGTCATGATAATGCAATGCTCAGTATGTGAGAAAAAGTATGAAAAGAAATAAATAATGTACAACACACAAATATAAAAATAATATTTAAATATGAAAACACATAATTAAATCTGAAAACAATAGAAAACCAGTTAGTACAACTATTTATACATAAAATTGTTATTAAAATAATCAAGGGAAAAAACTAAATTAAAAGAAATTTAAATTTATTGCAAAGACAATTAATTAATAAACTGGTGGCTTGATTCTCTTTAAAAAATGTCCCCAGCAGAGTCGCCAAGCTGTCGAGATGTTTCTCTGCCCGGCGACGGAGAGTGCAAATAGTACACCTAAGGTGTAACTAGTCTCGAAAAAATGAGTGCTTATCTTCTAGCATAAGATAGAACACTAATTTGTATAGTCGCCACCAATTTTTTAATATGGTGAGATTGGTCACCAAAATGCTATTTTAATAAAATTCATGAGAATATTATTAAAATAACACAAAGAGATCTGCTTACCAGAAAATGAGTTCGGGAGTCGGTTGCATGTAGGAAGGATTAGCACCCCCACAACGCCCAAAATTAGTACCGGTGTTTATTAATTAATTTGTCTTTGCAATATATTAACAAATTTGTATTTAATTTTAATTTATAATCCCAAAAATAATAATTAGTACCGGTGTTTATTAATTAATTTGTCTTTGCAATATATTAACAAATTTGTATTTAATTTTAATTTATAATCCCAAAATAATAATAATATCATTTCACACCAATAACCATTTTAAAATACCTTCTTAATTAATTAAGAAGATATTTAATGGTCTATTGTATGAAATAATATAAATTAAATACATATATATATAATAATGATTAAAATATTAAAATATTAGGTTAATACTGAAAATATTACATATTCATAATAATAAAAATGTAAATAAAATGATAATAATATTAAAATTTAAAGATATCAAAATATGGTGGTTAAATTGTAAAATAACAAAAGTAATAATATTAATTCAAAATATTATAAAAATTGGGTAATAGTAACATAATTTAACCATATATAATAATTTGGTATTAAAATATAAATTAAAAAAAATAGGGACTAAATATATAATTTTACCCTAAATATATATAAACATATGCAAATACTAAAATATAAAAAAATAAAATGCAAAAACCGAATTGAAATGTGCAAAACCTAATTTTGATGACCATAATGTGAGATTACAAAACTAGAAGGACCTCTGTGTAATTTACCCGTCAAAAATTACAAAGACAACCCTCCCCAAAATGATGTCGTATGGGGGAGGGTATTTAAACCCAAATCCGGCCCAAAGAGGTCTAAGCTCCTCATTTTCTTTTTTTTCTCTCTCTCTAAACGAGAGAATTCTCTTATTTCTCTCTAAACTCCCTCGTCGGAGGGAGGCCGGCAGCCGATCACTGTCATTTTCTGCCACTGCTGGCCACCGCCCACGGTGGCCTAAAAATACAAAAATCACCCCAAAATGTAGATCAAAACCTCCTCTACCCGAATTTTCCCTCCTTTTTCTCTAAAAACTTCCCAAACGGTCTAGATCTATAAAAACGAAGGTTTTACCTCGGTTACACAATGATCTCCAGTGGCTTTTGAAGACTTTGACGAATGTGGTAAGCTTCCCTTTCTCTTTTCATTTCGTTTGTTTTTTCGTCACTGTTGGTGTGGTTGCTTGCTCCCGTTCTTGTTGTGTGTGTTGTTCTTTGTAGGATGAATGGCCTTTAATAGGCCTCGATCGCCGTTCATAATGATGAACCTACCCGGTGAGTCATCGGATCTACGATGGTGACTCACCCTAGGTCGATGTGCTTTGTGGTTCTCCTTCACCCTCTAGATTCTTCTGGTAAGATCTTATGTTGACAGCGGAGGTGGTGAGATGTCATTGGAGGCAGCGGCAGCTAGGGCAAAAACCCTATCTAATAGAAGATCTGTGGCCTCTATCTCCATCTTGATCAGACAGTTGAGGAGGCTGGAGGCATTAAAGATGAGATAAAACCCTAAAATATATTTAGGCCTTCTCATTGTCTGGGTCTGGACCGGGTATGGGCATGAACCGGGTTATGGATCTGTTGCTATGACCTGGACCTCTAGTTTGTTGTTGTTGGGCCTTCATTTGTAATTGGGCTTTTGTAAATGGGCCTTAATTTATTATATTTATTTGTAATAATAATATAATAATAAAACAATAATAGTAACATAATAATATATATAATTATATTATATAAAAACGAAAAACAGACGAAAATGTTGCAACCCTTCGTAGTTGGCCTGGGAGAGGAAACTGTGTTGGGTTCCCCGTGCAACTAACGAAATGGCTGACAGACTACCTCAAATAGCACCATTGCACTATTCTCGATTCCTCATTCACGATTTTCCTCATGCTACATTGATTCCACACTTGCGAAACGATGTAAGGGAGGTTGCCTCCCCTAAGACAATGTAATCACTAGCCTGATTTTTGGCTTCTTTCAATTCAAAAAGAAAAAGATGATGATAAAGAGCATAGCTGAAAAATCAAAAACAAGAATATAACATAATTAGAAAAAAAATGGGATAAGCGATACAGGTTGGCAATTGCTATGATTTAATTTGATTCGAAACTCAAAATATCATGTGAGGATCATTAGAAAAAGTAAGTAATCACAACACATCAACAAAAAAAAAATTTGATAGAAAGCTGCTAGTTTTATTAAAAATAATAAAATATCAAGAATTACAATGAAGTTTTACGAGTATAACCGTAAACGTGAACTAAATTATAATTAGGGCCTTTTACTATAACCATTAACACAAAAACTAGTCACCTAGATCACACAAAGACCATAAAGAAAATGTTAAAAAACATAACCAATGCACAAATAAAATAAAGATACGAACAAATTTAAATGCGTCGGTAAATGAACCACAAAAGGGGATAAAACTACTGAAAAATACCGACAAATCACAAATTAGAGTCAAGCGACGTGAGAAAACTATCCACGAGCTCAAAACGCATATCTAAATCAATCCAAGGGTACAAAGCAGAGAAGATTAGCAAGATAACAAATAAGTGTCATCTTGATTAGACATAGCGATGTCAAATCCAACCCTGTGAAAAAGATAAACGAAAAAAGGGCAAAAAACCACAATATATCAAAAGGCAGAGAAAACATGCCACAAAGGCAGAGTACATATCACAAAGACATGATTATTCTTATTAAAAAAATTCAAAAAACAAAGAAAAAAGATAATCGGCGGACGGCAATCAGTATCAAAATTGGTGTCGCTGCCAATTAAACAAAATTAAAGAAGAAAAAGTTGGATTGATCAATAAAATTGAAACAAGTTGTAAATAAGAAGAAAAAAAGAAAGAGAAGATGAGAAAGAAAACGGCTAGGATTTTTTTAAAATCCCTATAATTAAACATCAACAATTGTTTTATTTGTTTTACTATTTAAATTTGAATATTAAATAGAACATGCCACCAACCAGCCATTCACAATATATGTTGAAAACATTTTGATGTTTCGATATAACAAATTAAGTGTTATTGAAATTTAAGATTTTATAATCATTTTTAAAAGTATATTCGATTAAAATATTCGAATATCAAAATATTACTCCAAGTTTTTTAAAGGACAATTTCAATCCTTACTAAAGTGTAAAATTGTGTCTTAAACTTAAAATATTTTTGAAACAATTTTACAAAGTATTTCGATCCAAAATCGAGCAAAAAATCAACTGAATATAGGGATGTACCGATGCACTATTTGATGTATCGATGCACACCCTATTTCGAATGCATTTTGTGTACCGATGCAGACCATGCATCGATGCACTCCTGGCTCTTTTGAAACATCGAATGTAATTAGTGTACCGATGCACCCCAAGTGTACCGATGCACTAAGTCTTATAACGGTCGAAATATTTGAATTTTACACACAGTGTACCGATGCACCTTGATAGTGCACTGATGCACCTTGATAGTGCACCGATGCACACACGCTCCCAACCAGATTTTTAAATGATAATTACACAATACGGCTCTGTTGACTTCACCAATGATCCCCCAACGTTCAGAATAAATTGAAGGTGTATTTAAACAAGCTTGGGAGCTATTGATCAAGAATAAGAAACCAGAATTGAGAGAGAATCAACGAGAAAGCATCAAACCTAAGTTTGAGCATTTTCAAGCCTATTTCATTCAATATTCATTTTTTCTTTCAAGAACACTTATTGTGCTCAATTATATTATTCTTGAGTGATCTTT